CTCTCACAAAGAGACAAACAGAGTGAGCCTCAACAGCGCGACCTTCATAGCAGAAATACACCATCCATTATCAGTCGCCGTTTACATTGAATGTAGGCTAATAAAGTTGGAAGAATCATTCTCGTGTTTCGATGCTTCACTGTTTTTTTTTTTTTGACACTTATGTTTTAATCAGGCTAGTTGTCCTGTCGGGAAAGTAAAAAAAAACATTTTAAACAAGCTAGAAGGCTGATCAGCTGTAGGTTCGACCTATATTATTATTATTGAGAACATTAAGGTAGTTTGACCTGTATTCTGCTACTGCGTTTCTCTCTAATGATGCAGTAACTTACCTCGGAGGAGAAAAAAAAAAACTTCTGTCTTTCCAATGATTGTAAACAGTCATTAGGTCCGTCAGACTTAAGATATTTTAGCAGTAATGTGACCAAAAATATTTAAGACCCATCGAATCTGAATTTAAGACATTTTAAGGCCTTTTATTAGGAAAACGTTATTTAAGACTTTTTAAGGACCCGCGGACATCCTGAATTAATGACAGAATTTAAATTTTTGGGTAAACTATCCCTTTAAGATACATCTAGAATATTTTTTTTAGTTTAAAGCGTGCTCACCGCATTGGTCTCCACTCGCTTCATGAAGAGATCAGGGATCCAGAGGGCATAAAACAGATCTCTAGCTCGCTGTTCCTCTTTACCAGTATTCTTTTTAAGCTCTAGGAAGTCAAAAATGTCAAAATGCCAGGGCTCCAGGTACATAGCAAAAGCTCCTGGTCTCTGAGTGAGGAGGAGAGAGAATGTCAGTTTTACAAGCCAAACTTAAACCACCTCCTGAAAATCATATGCAAAACACCTTACCTTATTTCCTCCTTGGTCCACATAGCGTGCTGTGTTGTTGTAGACACGGAGCATAGGAACCAGGCCATTTGAGTTGCCATTAGTCTAAAATAAAAAAACAATAAATTAACCCAACTGCTAAGCATAATACCAGTAAATCTAAAGCTGAGGATGGAGAAAACTCACCCCTGCAATGTAGCTTCCAGTAGCTCTAATGCAGCTCACTGCCACCCCGATACCTCCGGCAGACTTAGAAATGAGGGCACACTGCTTCAGGGTGTCATAGATCCCCTCAATACTGTCATCTTTCATAGCAAGCAGGAAGCAACTAGACATTTGACAAAACAAAATTGCTTGCATTATACATTATGCACAGAAGTTTATTGACTTTGCTAACACCAAAGTCATGCCATGGCAAAAAAACACTGCCCTCTTGTGTCTGATTGCTGTATAGTGATTGTTTGTTTTCCTACCTGGAGAGCTGTGGCCGGTTGGTGCCGGCATTGAAGAGTGTAGGAGAAGCGTGAGTGAACCACTTCTCAGAGAGCAGATTGTAGGTTTCTATAGCTGCCGCAATGTCCTCCTTATGGATTCCCACGGACACTCTCATCAGCATGTGTTGTGGCCGCTCAGCAACTGAAAAAGTGGTCAGTGTCATAGGAACATTTTCCATTTCCTCTACCATTACTATATAGTGTTCTATTGCTCCATTACTTCCTCATCCTCTCCATTTTGTTGTCTCGACTGTCTCGACTGAATGTATTCAAATAAGAATTTCATGACTTACCCTTCCCATTGATCTTTAGCAGATATGAGCGCTCCAATGTCTAAAAGAGATGTTAAAAACTAAGATTAACACAACAATCACTTTTAGATTTAGATATACAAGTGTATATTTTACATATTCTATTTTGGAATTACCTTGAAGCCAAAGAAATTGTAAGAGAAATCTCTGTCAAAAATGATGGCTGAGTTGAGCCGCTAGGGAAGTAAGGAAAATTACATTAATTATAAATACGACCATGTTGGGGGAAAAAAAAAA